CATGGCAATTTTGGTGAGTTTTCGAGTATGTTTAGGGCCTCAAAAACGCGTGTCTTTGGCACGAATAATAATAATAATCCGAGCAGTTCCAATAGGGTCTTCACACCCTGTTGGGTGCTCGGACCCTAATAACGCTTGTTCACTTACAAGTTCAGGGTTTATTCCACCCAAAACACTTCTTATTACAACAACTTGGTTGCTGAGACTCGCATCTGGACAAGTCGTGTCATGAACACACTTGTTATCAGGTAATTAATATAAGAACCACCTGCTGTGGGGTCTGGATCTGCTGAGTCTTTGAGCTCAGTACCTCCTGAGACAGACATGAAAGCAGACACAGTGCTGGTGTCTCTGATGGACTGGACAGAGCTCACTCTTTTATTTTTCTCAGTTTTATAAACCGGAGCGACAGAACGAGCAGTGGTGTGTTGTCTGGTGGTCCGAATGGGGAAGGGTCTCCCTCGCTGGGTTCTGATGCGCACCTTGGTCAGGATGGACCTTGATTAGCTCACTGTGCAAACATAGATGAACCTAAACCTGAGCCAATCCTAGAACTGGACCGACGACACACTAAACATCTCAACATCACAAATAGCCACAACGAACAGAGCGACTATGACCACTGTAGTCTGACACACTTGGACCGGTACCAGCAGGAATAACTGATGACGGAACTCCATGAAGGTTCTGGTTGTTTGCAGGTTTAATGAAGAGTTTGTTTCTCACGTTAGCAGGTCAACAACAGCTTTGCTGCACAAATGACGACATCAGAAATGTTCATAAGGTTCCGTAAAGCGATCAGCTCCACGTGGCTGTCGTCCATCATCACTACGACTGTCCGACCACCAGGTCCGCTGGAGCTTCACCCGCACGGTGGAACAAATCTGCACTTTTGCAGTATTGTTGTTTTTAAATTTGCATGTTAGATCTGAATTAAATGTTAGTTACTTCTGAATGTACATGTCTGAGGTGAAAACCTGCCAGAATCGTCAGCAAAGTGAAAATCAGTGACGTCAATGTACACGTCTGTCATAACTTGACAGGTGTGTCCTTCAGGGTTAATACATGAAACTGTTTAAAGTGAACTCTGTGGTTTACCTGGTGAACTGGACTCAGGTGCTAGCGCCTGTAATTCACCCAGGGGGCGCTCATGAGGTGGTTCTCTGTGAACACCATGTTCTTTTCTGACAGCGTCCTGCTCATGAACGCTGATTGGATGGTTAAGAACTCACTGATCACACCTGGACCTGGAGTCCTGAATGAAGACCTGGAGGAGGATCTTGGTGTTGGACTGGGTCACACTTCCTGCTGTTTGTTCGGTGGATTAGCTGTCGGCGCTAACGTTAGCATAACGAGGAGCTCTGAGCAGCACTCAGGTAGGAAGGAGACAAACAGGTGCAGAACATTTAGAAAGCATCAGCCGCTCATTTTAACCATCGCTCGTCTCCTCCCGTGTTTTCAAGGATTCTGTCGTCATTGAAGAACAGACACTGAGAACGGAGGACGGACTTGAAGCTCCTCAGACTGCACCCCATCCACACAGCAGCACCTTCATTCACCACAGCGGCAGGTTGCATCACAGGAGGTGATGAGTCTGCGTACCGGGATGAAGGTGAAACAGCTGCTGTGTGGTGTAGAGACAACAACCTGCTCCTGAACACATCCAAGACGAAGGAGCTCATCACAGACTTCAGCAGGAACCGAACGGACATTCAGCCCATTCTGATTGGTGGAACTTGTGTGGAAAGGCTCAGTGACTTCAGCTTCCTGGAGTTCACACTGAGGAGACACTGAGCTGGGATCAGAACACCACACAGCTGGTAAAGAAGGCACAAACAAGACTTCCTGAGAATCCTCAGGAAGAACAACATCAGCCAGAGACTGCTGGTGTCTTCTTACCGCTCCACCATGGAGAGCATCCTCACCTTCTGCCTCTGGACGTGCTCAGCCAGCTGCACAGCAGCAAACAGGAAGGACCTCCAGAGGGTCACCAGAACGGCTGAGAAGGTCACTGGGTGGCCTCTGCTCACACTGGAGGACCTTCATGGCTCTTACTGCCTCAGGAGAACCAACACCATCCTGAAGGACTCCTACCAGCCGGGCCACTTCCTGCTGGAGCTGCTGCCGTCAGGCAGACGGTACAGGTCCATCAGAACCAGGACCAACAGACTGAAACACAGCTTTTTTCCAGCTGCTGTCAGAGCCATGAACGCCTCCTTGTTATATACACACCTCCACTAGCTCTGTCCAGTATCCGCTGTGTACATGCTCATTAGTTAATTCCATCTTTTTATATATTTCCTTTATACTGTAGTTGTTTTATAAAGGCCTGCACCGTACTTTCGTTGTGCTTGTTGCAATGACAATAAAACAAATCTGAAGCTGATGGACTCATGAACATCTGCTGCAGCTCAGCCAAAAACGAGCCAGAACATCGCTGCACTATCAGCAAAGCAGAGGATTGTACTGGACGCCCCACGTTTCCGTCCGTCCTAGTTCCCTGAAGTCTGAGGTAGGACTGTTTGGCTCTAAAGTCGGTTCCCTAAGAATGACTAGAAGTCTGTAAAATAAAACAAACAGATGTTGACGTGCAGTTCCTCGTCTGCAGACTGTGATCCATCAGAACCGAACCTGCTGGACTTTAAAACGCTGCATCGAACGTCGGTGGGTCACCAACAAAGAAACGTGTTCAGGTTTCCTCCAGGTTCCTGCAAAGACACAGAGCAGAAAGAAGACACAGCGCCACCACCTGGATGTAAAAGTCATCTACACAAACATAAGTTTATTTTATTAAATATCTATTTTCTACCTTAAATACGTCGACTTTTATTCAGTTTCACTTTTCTGTATTTTGAGGTAGAATCCTTTTTTGTACAAACTATTTTCTATTGATTTCACATCTTCAGGTTTAATTACTGGGATCATCACCGATCCATCTTCCTGTATTTTTTAAAACTTCACTTTAGTGCAGTGACACAAAACTGCATCGTCGTCATCATCACACACAGCAAGACACACAACAACAGTACTCAGCATGTGTAGAAGCCCTAAAAGGTCACGTCTCATAGCACCACGATTATTAATAAGGTCGTATCAAATGTTTGGTCAGAGTCTGTGAAGAAGGCACATACTGACAACGAAACACTGCTACGGCACACAGCGACACTCTCAGACCAAACAACTGCTCCACAAAGTCCACGACTACAAACACAGAAACTAACAACGTCCTCAGGTTCACATCGGATGCATCTGAATGTACAAGAAGACCAGCGGCGGGACCAGACGGTCGGCGTCGCTGGTTCGGTCCCAGTGAAGCGAGTCCATCAGCAGCACCTCGCTTCAGTCTGCAGCTTCAGGGAAGGGACTGAAGAACCAGGTGGCAGCAGCATCTCAGGAGGAGGACAGGTGGATCCAGGTGGAGGAACCAGGTCCAGGTGGAGGATCCAGGTGGAGGAGC